CAAAGATTTACCCACGGCGAGGCAACTGAAACTCCGCTTGGAATCTCATTGTTGGAGCCACTCGGGCAAGGACTGTTGGGTTTCCCAAGACAATCTCATCCCGATCCCCCAAACTTTCAAACCATGGTAAGGGAACCAATGGGCCTGGGTCATGGTTCCGGGCCAAATCCACCAAGAATTCCGCTGCTCTTCCGCTGGAATCCCGAGGGAAGCGTGTAACTAAGACTTTGGCAAGATCTAAATATTCTTGAAGTTTCACCCTCTTCACTGGACGCAAAGGTCTGGGCACTGTCGGCCCTCCATGGAGAATCCGGTCCATCAGCTGATAGGGCATCGCCAGCAAAGCTTCCTGATTGCATTTGGTTTGCTGCAAGTCACTAAGTTCAGTGCAAAACAGAGTAGCGTGAGAGATCTACAGTGCAGTGTCCTGTGCTAGGCCATCATCAGCAGCATTCTTCTTCACCATGCAAATTACATCCATTTCATGCGATTGAAGAGCACCCCTTTTGTCGTCAGACTCGATTCGCAGATTCCGAGGGACATCTGCAGGGCATTAGCCAGCAAATTAGCTCACTAGTCATTACATATCACCACGAGGTCATCATTACATATCAATACATGTTCCCCTGCCTCTCCTGGCGAGGAATAAAAACCCATGAAGACCCGTTGAATCCGTTTTGAGGCCTCCCTTGTACGTCACCGGAACCTGCTCATACCTCATCAAGACAGAGCAAAAGAGAGCGGCTGAGAGGGCTGTCGTGAACGGGGGTTTGCACAAACACTACAGGTTGAGCTGAGGGACCATCCCTTCCAATCACGGCAAGATGTCAAGTACTGGACATTAATGGATGCTGTGGGCCCAATCCATTGTCTGATGTTGATTCTGTCCAAGATCTTCTTGAGCTTCCTTGGGTTCACCAAATTCTATCCCCGAGGTCTAAGCTGTTTGGCGTTGTTTGGTAACATCAGAACTGTTGCTGGCAGGAATCGACACCACATCCATTGGGTCACAGAGCAAGTCCACATATCTGAAAGACTTTGCTAATAGACCATAGACTTGGTCTTAGTGAAGGCAGGCTGAGGGGCTTAGGCCTGAACTGTGGATCGTACAACACAAACATACACAAATCATTGCCATGCGTTAATATATATTCCAAGAACCTAATGCTCCGTGGGTGTGGCCCACCTTTCCGAAGAAATACCCAGCGAATCGCATTTTTGCTCGTCCAACTAGTGCGGCTAGATGTTTCAGGCACGGGTTGTTCTTGTTTTCGCGAACTGTGTTGTCAGCCTGAGCGCTCACAATCTACCAAAAGACAATGAAAGACACAGGCGCAGCTATCAGACGAATGGACGTTCCAAGGAACCCATATGCAGCATGCGCTTGGGAGTGGGCGGCCACATTTTTCGAAGGTCTGGACGGTGTCTTGTAGTACCCTTTGGAATGTTTCGATGACCAAAGAGCTGTCAGCAGCTACGCCAGGGTGGATCAGGAAAAGGTTGAGGGACACGCCATGGTTCCAAACACCATGCACTTTCATCCTGGGGCGCTGAAAGACGGATCCTTCCTTTGAGGATTGTACTATACGGTCTCTGGGCAGGCACCATTTGGACTGGTCCATCCCATCCTTATGCAAAATACAGCATAAAACAACCCATCGAAGCAGAACAACCCATACACAATCGTGCAGCCAAATCTCCCATACAAAACTCAATATATCGTTGTCGTTTTGCAATGGCGACTGTCCCTGCCAGAGACATTCTTCGACCCCACAACCCAACAACCCTGATCATAAACTCAATAATTGGCAACATGTCAACCTGGCCTGGAGATATTCCTCTAGCTTCCTGTCCTGTGAGACTTCTTGTAAGTGCAATTTGTAATCTCTCGCAGTGTCGAACCTGGATTGTGAATCCTGGGGCTGAAGAGAAAGAGATTACCGCGCATTAAACATGGCATTGACTGCATGAAACAATAGGCGAGAGTCGCGTGCTGCTTTAAAGGCCTCCTTCATGTCTAAGCATGTGTCGCACGTTGCGTGCGTGCTGGGTGGTAAAAATCGTAGCGTGTTTCGCCAGCAAGTTGAATAACGCCGCCAAAAGGTGGCGTAACTCAGTCATCACATAAGGTGCAAAAACAATTCATCACAAGCACACATCTTAAACGCAACTGGTCCACGACACTTCGCTGTGCGGCTCTCTCTGACAATACTCGTAGTAGAGCATTTTCACGCTCCCGGGTGGCAAAAATCGAACCGGAAGAGATTGGATGTGCTGCGCGGCATTCGACTCCACCCACCTTGTGCCATACATGTAAGGAAAGAAGTTACTTTACTGACTGTGAATCTCAAAGGAGTCTGGGCAAACCACGTGGAAAAGAACTGCTGTGAACCCAAGTAGTGAAGACGGAGCTCTTCATCGTCTTCTAAACGTTCCCCACTTGGTGCAAAAAAGTCTTCAACTCTCTCGCTGTCAGAGCTATCACAATCATCGCTGGAGTCATGGCCGGTCTCAAACGCAACTCTCATTTGGCTCCCACCACCAGCGCCTCTCTTGCGCCCAGCCCTCTGAAACCTGGGCAGGTGCAGTTCATCCCTCAGGAGTCATAGGGCCTTAGGGTGGAGGACTGAAAAATGGTTTTTGCTCACGAGGAACTTGTTGGGCAGCATTCCTGCTGCATCAAGGTATAAGCGCATCAAATACATATCTGTTCTCATTTGCTTCACTGGTGCTTTCTTCTTTGCCTTAACAGCGTGAAAATGCATGAAATTTGCCTCTTAAAGTTCTCTTTGCCTTAACAGCTGCCTAACAGTCTGACAAAATGCAATTGATCATCACCTCATACTAGATTTATTCGAGGCTGCAAGTCCAAAACATGAGAACCTCTTGTCCAACATGCCAGTGGATGCCCGCTGTAATCGATCTTCTCCGATTCCCAAAATAGTGGCCAAGCACTTGACAGAGATTTGCACCCCAAGCAAGTACCAGTTCTTGCGAGAAGACCGTCCAGCAGGACCATGAACCCAGTGAATCTTAGTTGTCAACTACCCTGCAACAGAACCCACAGGAATGCAACCAGTAACATTCAATTTGAATGTAGCCAACCAGTAAGTTTATTTCAGACAAGAAACATAAGCATCTTGAAGAGTTTTCTTGAGGCTCCAGAACATGACTAGGTACTGCATCAGTTCCCGAAAGAGGCGAGAAAACTTACGAAAACAATCGCCTTTGCACCTGCACCCTTGTTGAACAAGCCGTCCAACCCGAGATCGCGAAGATCCATTCTCATGCTGCCTGGGCGGAGATCAGCCAACAAAATGGACCCAAGACTGACTGACTGTTAGAAAATTTACAGGAAAAAGTGAGGCTGATAGGAGATCTGAGGTACTGTCTTCTGTCCGCTGGCAGGATTCTCATGCTACTCCTCTCTTTGGAATTGTAATTGGGCCTCTTCCGACTCTCTGGAGCAGGGGGGTTGTGTGCTGAATGAAGCACGTCCTGATCTTTGAACTCTACCAGGTTGTTCAAGTTGAACTTGATGTCATTGCCTTCTTGGGTTTCACTTTCTCTTTGAGAAAGCCGTCCCAAAAAAGCAGCCCTTGAGACAACTTCCTGACCTTTGTCAGGCTTTTCCAAATCCTCCCGCCCAGAAGCACTCGAGCCCTTCGCACATTGGGCTAAAAACCTCAGTGGAACATAGTAAGTAAGCCTTACAGCTCAATCATGATTCATGATCATCATAACTTCCAGCGACGACTCCATTGAGTTAAGTCACGCCAATCTTCGTTTGTCGCCGCTCATTGTGCCCACTTGGGCCAAAATGTAATGTGATAAGAGTCTTGCACAAGCTCATAAACCCTGGGCCTTTAATTAACATCAAAATACACCAACCCCTGAATGAAAAGCAATCACTATGGAATGTAAGGAAATAGACTTCATATAGATCATATAGCGAACGAACTTCCAGATAGGTGAACCGGTCGGAATCCTGGTGCCATGACGTGGCATAGCGACATATAAATCAGAAAATGCGAAGTCTCATAGCTGCACAAAGTTCAGTGTACGAGTTCTGAAGCGGAGGAACGTGAGGGCTTGGCTTTTGCTTGGCAAATGGAGTCCACCACAGAGCCGACTCAGAGTTATAGCACCATGGAATACTGCTGAGGACTGAAGATTGCACAAGAATCCATCTACCAACATCCTCCGACAGGTCACCAATTGAGACCTGTTAGAGGAGACCTGTTGGAGGATGCTAGTAGAACTGACCTTGTGTGAGTATTCCAATGGGACTCCAATCCTGGAGAGTTTTTGCCGTCATGACCAACAGTGGAAAGGTTTCAATTTACTCTTTTGGATTTGACATGATTTGAATAGTTTTGTTTATCCTATTCTTGAGGCTTAAGGTCAGGCTTCTGGACAGGGACAGAGACCTCCCCACCTCGGCCGTCACGGTTTCCCAACCGTGAACATCGCCACCGGACTCCGGTGACGGACGGGACCCCCTGGCACCCTGGTGGCGTGGCTGCCTCCGTGCCGCTCCGGCTCCAGCTGTTGGGCCATGGTCCTTGAAACAGTGGACAGCCTGCAGCCTCAGACTTGGGGGGATTGTTGACACCCCGAAGCACGAACGGGTGGAACAACGGTTGACCGTTTTCCAGGGAAATCTGAAGTGAGTCAGTTGTGGAAAATAGACCGGGTCGACCCATGTGGTCAGCATGAATCGAATGCACGGTTGAAGCAAAAGAGCGCGGTCGCTGCGCTTGGGATTTTTTGAAGCAATAGTTTCAGGAATTGTATGGTTGTTTTGAGCCAGATCGACGAACAAGAGTCAACTTTGGCCTTGAAATAGGGGTGTGATGTGTTCAAAAAGTAATATTGAAAGCAAAGATCTGGACCATAATTGCCAGTTGCTGTGTCATTTTCGTTTCACCACTTTGGCACCCTGCAAAACATGCGCGCAGCAACCCCCTGGCAGCGTTTCTCGCAGCAGTTGCTGCCTCATGGCGACCGTCAAGACGGGGTTGCGAGGCTTCGCGGTGGCCAGTGGTTTCTTGGCTGAAACAGCAAGCAGCGCCAGCGAGACAGAAGTAAAATAAGTACGCATTTATACACATATATAACTAGGTGTTGATTTCGGATATGTTTATTTTCAACCCTTACTTGGGGATGATTGGACCCTCTGACTAAATTTTTTCAAGTGGGTTGAAAACACCAACCACTATAGTATAACATCACAACCAGCACCACCCAGTTGGGGTGCTTCTTGGATGGCCAATGAATATAATGAATAGATTGTACCAGGACCGTTGGGGTGGCTCAGGGACACCCCTAAAAGAAACCTCTAAGGAGCTATTAATAGAAACCTCCTTTGCTCCGGGTCTCCTGGATGTGCGGCGTTCCAACCAGTAGGTCACTGGGTCGGTCCATGAGGAACCCCCGCCAGCCCTCCACTGCTGAAAGGGTGAAGCACAGCGTCCGGTTTTCCTTTTTGGGACGTGGAGATCGACAAGGGGGCTGGCACCGTACACTGGCTGTGCCGTGAAAACTGCATAAATAAAAGTTTCAAGTTTCAACCTCATCCTAAGTGGTACTGATATATTTTAGTTTCAGATTTTAGCTATAGCGTTCCGCGCCCCAACTCGACTCCGACATGTTCTGCCCGAATTGTAGACACGGTCTGGGTGAGTTCGTCCATCCCGAGAGAAAGCTCCACCCGTTTCCACCTGAGAGATTATAAAAACCCCCCACCCAGGGAATTAGTATTCGCATGTCCGTTTTTCTTGGAGCATCTGCAAACCACTGTAAAACGATAAGGAAGAAAAAAAAACGATAACCCCCGATGATTGTCGTGGAAATCCCTTGGCATGTTTCTATTTGTGGTTTTAGGCTTACGTCCTCACAGAGGGAGCAACAAGGAGTGTCTCCTGGGCCTCCGAAAGAACAGTCCCTGCTCGACAAACAGAGTGTGAACCATCTCCCGTTCTTCAGGGCAGAATCTGTAAAGAAATCCTAGTTGCACCAGGCACCAAAACGATAACAAAACGATAACAAAAACGATAACGCAGCGAGCCTAAAAGACCTTTGTGTAGGTAGGCCACCACATGTGAGCGCCATGGACAGCAATAAGATCTTCTGTCTGGGGACTCTAGCATGGACTCCAGCATGGGGAATTGTACCTAATGTCTTCATGTCTGCAGGTTCCACACCACATGCACGCAGTGCACACACACATGTATACTACATATGTTACATATGTTGCAGTTAGTCAAAGTACTGTAAAACGATAAGGAAGAAAAAAACGATAACGCCAAAAGTGGTAAGGCAAAAGGATAGGGGGTTTTTATACAACCTCACCTGGGTGTATTATATAACAGGCGATAACAGGAGAACCCCGATTGAAACCCCTGGAAGAAGGAGACCACAACCCATTGGTAGAGGTTTAAAAATATTTCAACATATTCAACCACCAAACCCCTCCTCTCTCACCATTGATCACCCGAGGCTCCTTGGCGGGGCGCTACTTATTGGGCGACACCTTGACCCAGCGATGCATCGAGCAACGCCAGGTGCGGAAAACGCCAACTGACGGCAGTGACTGGGGAAGACGAGCGGCAAGTGTCAGAGGGGGACACGGAGAATTTGCTTTCCACCCAGACGTTAACAATCCTCAGGGTCCCTCAAAAACTCGTCCATAATGTCGACACCGGATCCCTTCATATGAGGGGGGGGGCTAGGAGCGTTTGTGCAATGTATTGGTATTTCATCGGGCCGCGCACAGGTCGCTGCGAACAGATCACCAAAGGAAGCACTGGTTTTTCGCCAGGAAGCACTGGTGACCTCCAGAGGCTTCGGAGGCTGTTCTTGAAAGAAGCTGACAGGTGTTGGAACCCTAGGACTCCAACCATGTCCTCAGAAGGTGGTTAGACCCCCAAAATCCACCCCAACCACCTTCTCAGGAGGTTGTTGGAGCCCTAGGGTAAATGACTCAGTCACTGATGGGTCCCACATCCTACTCGACTGCAGGCTGGTGACTTGAAGATCCGCACGCGCGACGTTGCTTGTTGTTGTTCTGACAGCTTGTTTGTCTGAAGTGTTCCCACTTAGATATTGCACCGGTAACCAACGCCAATCTTGATAAGATGGATGTATAGCGCATAGCTTGCATGAAGATGAACCGCTGCACGAGGAGGACCAGCGCTGGAATCAGATTCTGCTTGGCTACCTGCCTATCCTCTTCATCAGCAACTTCGCACCAACAAACACCATGAGAGATCCTTCTGTTGATCCTACGTTCGCAAGGATCGGTAGCTTGATATAGCTTGTCATGTTGTGTAGTTGTACTTGATTTTGAACTTGCGGACTTGAAGAGAAGAATGACGGGAGAAGATCAACAACCAAAGGTTGATCAGCGGGTAGGTAGTCTGGCACTTGCGGTTGAGGTCCGGTAGTTAGTGCCCACTGCGGTCAGGAGCTGGCCAGCTGGCAGTTAAGGTGGCAAGTTGGAGGACAAGGAGGAGAAGAGCTCTGATAAAACGTAGCAATCCTCACCTGGCTGGCAGGTGGGGAACAACAATTCCTGATGCCTTCTCTTTCGCCGCTGTGGGCGGCAAAGCCTTAGAATATGCAGAGACCGTGTCCTGGCGGCAATGCATGTATGGCGGCCTTTGTCCCTTCAATGCTCTTGGCGCCAGTGCAGCTAAGAGGGCTTGGACACGCACGTCACAATCTTCGAGCTAACAGGCTGGCTACGAAGGTTTAAGGAGATCATAATATTGTGAGTTGCTTCAACTTGATGCTACAGCCCGCCAGGCTTTTTTGAATCGATTTGCGCCGGTGCCCATCATACCCATGGTGGGAGGAGCAGCCCGCGTGCTGAGTTGCTTGCAGCGTCGATCCATGGTGTTGGGGAGTGGCCTTGCCCCGCTTCGACACCCCCTCAACTTTTCACGCAGTACAGTACAGAGAAAGCCCGCGAAGCAGATTTGCAAGATGGCTCTCCAACTTCACGGAACCGCAACTCACATGGCCCATTGCCGAAAATATCTTTTGCTGCTTCTGCAAGGTCTGGGACAAGAGCTTGAATGTTGGCTCCCACGTCGTTTGCAAATTATCAGCGCCAAACTCATGAAAAGATAATGCGCGAAACTCATGAAAAGATAATAGTTTGAACTCATGGTATCTTCTCTTGTTTGATAAGAAGTATCAAGATTTCCTAGATAGCAACTTCAGTTTCTGAACTAGTGTGGGTGAGTGTGAGTGAAAGTGAGTTACTGTAAGTCTGCATGAGTGTGAGTGAGCGCGGTTTATATATGTATTGTCTATTTATAGTTTTGCGATTTTGTGTTGGGACTAGTTTTAAATATTTAACATTACTTTTGTAATTTTCTGTTGATTGTTCAATGCTTCTTGTGCTTAATCTAATGTTTTTTGTGTTCTCTTATATGTGTCAAAACCATATTTTGCTATATATTTTGCTTGTTTGTTGTATGTTTGGTTGTGTTTTAATGTTGTGTTGCCCTTTTGGTGTGAAAATCGTATTTTTTACAATGTTGTGTATTTTTACAAAAACCATTTTCAACTTGCAACATCTGTCTTTTGCTATATTCAATGCTTTTATGTTTTGTTCTTGCTTTACAGTGCATTTACAGTTTTTATTGACAATCATCCTGAATAATTTTTCATAAAACGGCTAAATTGGGGGGCACCCGCCGGAAACCTTATACGTTACACAACAATGATAACTTACATAAATTGATAAGGTAGCAAGTCCGAATTTTCCGAGCTTTTCAAAATTTCCGGAAGTTTTGGAGATGTTTGTTTCGCATTCTAAAATTTGGTGACTTGTCTTTTTGATAAAAGCGCACAATTTTCCAAAAGGTTGGAGGGGATGGTTTTGCGTTACAATATATGTATAATTAACCCCTCCACCTCAAAAGGACCAGTTTTGCGAGGTCCTGCTGTAAACGACCCAGTTTTACGAGGTCACATTTTCTTTGACCTTCAAAAACTTCCAGGTCACCATTTCCACGGAAGATTCTTTGGGCATTAAGGTCACCACTTCCACAAAACCATTCTTTGGGCATTAGGGTCATTTCCATTGAACATTCTTTTGGGTTCGATGGTCCCTGTACATACATATGTGCATGCATACCGGAGACATGGTACCCATACGCTCACTTTTAGCGGCGCCATGCCTTACGCAAGTCCACGCGTGCCAATCTTTTCTTGGAATTATTTTTGCGCACGTTGTTTGCTCAATTGACCAATTACATTGCCACGACATACGTGGCTACGTGGGAGTCATGTTTGCTGTTTGCTGACAGTATACGCGTGCATTGTTCAAGCCGATGACAGTTCATCGTCAAATCGCATTTGAAGCTTGCAGGTCCCATGCAAAAGAGTCACGCGAGAGTCACGCCCAATGATGTCCATGGCGAAGTTTTTGACGTCCTTTACTAAGTAAAGGACGTCAAAAACTTCGTGGTTTAGCGAGTCACGGTAGAGTCACGGTCCCATGCCCGGGCCAGAAACGGCCAATTTCAACCACATGCGTTGTCTGTGTTGTAACGCATCGTTCTTGCTTTATATCAAAAAGATCTAGCAGCCTGGGCGCCACTTATATGATATGCATGCGCTTGTTGCCACAAATATTTTGTCTGTGTGATGTTCGCGCGAAATGGAAAGTAGAGCAAAACGCTCCTGGAAAGCCATTGGTGCAGCATGTTGAATCACAATCACCGTGCCATGTATATGTGCACCATATATGCATAAAGTAAAAGATGTAAAAGACGTCTTTTACTTTTACCATTTGCCAAGTAAAAGATGTCTTTCACCAAGTAAAAGACGTCTTTTACTTCTTATAGTTGCCAAAGTAAAAGACGTCCTTTACGGAGTAAAGTCGTGCTTTCCACCATTTCCACAAAAAAACTTGGAGGTCGAATTTTGCTGTCAATCAGTTTTGCAGAAAATAGAGCCCAGCAAAACGAGGCCTTTGATTTGGAGGGAACGGTTTTGTTTGGATCTACTGTGTTTTTATTAAGCACATATATAAATGCAATGTTTGGCATGATGCATTGCCTTTGGATCAAGCGGAGAGTCGAGTAAAACAAACAACTACCTTCAACTACCGTTAATTTATGTCGAGGTGTTCATCTTTAAATGTTAGAAGGTTCCGTGGACGTTGATAGTATATGTATACAACAGCCGTGTTCCGATGCTTTAACCTTCCACATCCGGGACCGTCCGTCACCTTTAAAAGGCCCGTTTTTCGTGTCCATGGTTAGCGTGGTTAACTCGGAAAATCGGTTTTCCATCGGTTTCTCGGTTTTTGGGGCGAATCCGCTGTGATCAATGTATGATGCTGGCATACTCTTTCCTGAAAACCATGCTGAGTTCACTGGTTGGAGAAAAATGATTTGTGGTCGAAACATGTTGAACAAATATAGATTCAAAGTCGAACAAATTAAGTCAATTTTTTGGTTAGGTTTCAACAGAAACAACACCTCCTAAGACCCTCCAAATAAGGCTGATGAGAACGTTGAAAGATGGTTCAAAAGAACCAACAAATGCACCCGATGCCAAGTAGCATTCCTCAGCTGGCACGGGTTTGAAGGACCATTCACCAAGTGTTCCAAATATTTGAATGTTTTTCACTTCCACGGTGATGCTGCTTTGCCTGCTTGATCTGGCAGTTGATTGGTGTACACTCTTTCAGTTGCTTCAGGCAAGTGAAATCACTGGTGCCAGCCTTCCAGTCCAAAAATTAATGGCCCACCACCATCCGAGTAAACCGGCTGAAGAGTTTTCGTTTGATGTCATCCCTCGGCTCGCAGTACTTGACTTGTTTAACCTCCACATCTTGCAGATCTATTCCTCCGACAGTGGTGGCCACACAACGATGCACAAAGCAAGTACTACTGTTTTGTTTGTCCAGTGCATCCTGATCAAAACATTGTGCACAGGGCATGTAGAGCAACAGACTGTATAGTGACAGACTTAACTTATACTTCACACCTTACTGACTTGACTTAGCTTGACTTAGCACCAGCCTTCCGACAGCGCTTCAGAAGCAGCGGGGGCAGGAGCACGACCGACGGCGCGCGGCGCTCTTCGGCCTCTTCGGGCTGGTCATGGGCGGCCCAGCTTATCTCTTCTACGCCGCTGGGATCTGAGCTTGGAGGATGCACTGGGATCCGAGGTGGGGGGAGAATGAAGAATGAACGGGTTCCAGGACAAAACATACAGAACACCAGCGAACCTCGTCCGAAACTCGTTTCCTAGTTAGTAGGGAAGGTGTTTCAGCTTTCGGGGCGCCCCGCTGACCTGCCGGGCCCCAATTCCCAATCCAAGCCCAACAGCATGAGCAGATTGGGATTGGGATCTGGAGAAGATGTTTGGGTGATCGTTGAATATCCTGCCAGTGGATCAGCAACAAAACCGCTTTCCAGTGATTGGTGATTAACCTCTCGGCCTGTGTCACATGAGCTGGGTGGAACATTCGGTGAACCTTCATATTCCACAAAAAAACGGTTCGGGAGTCAGAAGGGGTTGCTTGGAGGGACGACCGTCCAAGAATGTCTCGGATGCAACTACCCGGATCTCGGAGATCTTGAAGGGTGCAAGCTTCACCAGCATGAAATAGTTGGACATCGGGGCCCTGATGCGGGGTCTCAAGCATGAGCCTTTTTTGATCGTCGCTCAAGAAAAGGTTTGCACAGGCAGGAACACTTCTTATATGTTGTTGTTTGATTAGCAGATCGTTGTGATAGGTTTGCCGAAATTGGTAGGGTATAATCAATATAGTGTGGGCATGTGTGGGCTAAGATTGCCAACTTCGAACACTGTGGAAGAGGGGTGTGACCTCTTCCTTTATGAGACAACACTAACTCTAGCAGCTCTTGACCAGCCAAATTTGTTGGCCAAACCAGTTATTCTACAGCGACCACATCGCATTGAATGTGACCCTTACTTGGCCACCAGCACTCTCCATCCCTCATCGAGACCTTTTTCAGAGCCTTTTGCGGAGCCCTCCAGAGAAGGCTTGTTGGAGGTGCCGGCAGAGTAGACATTGTGGTTTGCAACGGCCGGGTCCAGCTGGCTTTGCCTTGTCGCCGCACACCTCAGAAGTTGCAGTAGTCACAAGGCAGGTTTGACCTGAAGGATTTGAATTGTTGCAAAATGCAAGACACTAAAACATATTGGCATTCACTAAACGTGCAAAAGATGTTAAAGAATGACTGTTGTTCAATGTTGTTCATGCGTTCATCATGAAGCCTTTGAAAAAGGCCCGCTTGAAGCTCCTTCGCCAAAGCACACAGATTTGCTTCTGCTGCGCTTCACTGAGGCCCATGTTCCAGCTCAGCTTGGCCGCTGGGTAGCCACTTGGAGCGGGTTGGTCCGCCCAAGAAGCGTCGCGTTTGTCCAAGGACACAACAATGTACTAACATGTCATGTCAATTCCAGTCGCAAATAAAGGATCAAGATGAATCAATGACCTTTCGTGTGTTTGGGATTTTTTTTTCTGGGTGTCCTTGGAATGGCCTATTGGTCTCATTTACCCTCAACTACTAATGTCCTAGGGTCTCGGTGCTTGACAAAAAATGGGTGAGCAAAGTCACATATTCCCTCACACGCACATCGAAGGGAAAGCATGCTCTTTTTCAAATTCTTTCAAGAGATATTGGGTCTGAACTGAACCTCTTGCAAACTCAAGGAAGTCAATCCTTAGAACACAACGTGATACCATGCGATGCCATTCTAGGCCACAGGATATGCCTGAATGAAGCACGTTTAACTCATCCAAGCAGATCCAGAACAAACCACTTCCCTCTACTATACATGGCTGGTTCGATGGGGTCTGGTGTGAACAAAGCCACCCATCAGTCTTTTGCGAGTCACACAAGCATGAAGAACTCTCTTTTAGACCCTGGAAGCTCAGGGTTGCTCATAGCCAACTTGCATTTTGCTTCGCGTGCCATTGTCAAACTCATATTTGCTGGCATAATGAGAGCTTGGCATTGAATCACAGGGTCTCAGATGGTAGGGTACATGTCGGGGTTGCATTGTTTTAGACCCCTTGCTGGAATTCTCCGAGGGGGGTCCTAACACCTTGGCGGCCAGACTCGTCGACAGCGGCCTAAGGGAAAAGCAGTTAGACTCAGGATGTTGGGGTCTACAATGCAACCGTGTGGTTGACGGGACCCGGATTGATATATAGTATTGAAATTGGAAGAGCTGGTTTGATCATTTCAATACATTTATTTGGTGTATTTGTTTAATTTAAGTGTATATTGACATATATAAAATGTCGATATATTGGAAAAGCAGACGATCATTTCAATCCATTTGGTTTGCGATGCCTCGGTCTTTATTTGCTGGGCAGTTTTTCTCGCCATCGCAAGGAGGGGAAATGGAAATTGGTGGCTGCCATGATCCTCGTGGACCGAGCATCGCGCGAGTCGTGATGCGACGAGGTGGTGAAGAAGCCAGAAGAAGAAGTGCACTCGTTTCGCTAATAAAGCTTTTGTTTTCGCACTCCTTGCTGACCCAGCCGGGCCCCAATCCCCAATCCTACCCCAACAGCATGAGCTGATTGGGATTTGGGCATTGGGTCCGATGATGTTTGGGTAACAAGAAGACTAGGGGCTCCTGGCCTTACCACCAGAAGCAAGCTACGAACGGGGCTCCTGGCCGTACTACTAGGATGTTTGGGTTGTCTTGAAAGTCGGACCCAGTCAGTGGATCGCCAGTCCCAAAACGTGAGATGGGTGAGGAAAACCCCGAAAGGCCTGTGTCACACATGAACCAGGTGGACCCTTTGCCGAAGCGTGATTTTTCCAGCAAAATGCTTTGAGTGTCAGGCACAACCACGACCCGCTCTAGAAGAAAAACCATGAAAACCATGAGTTTCAATGGCAAATCAGCTTCCTATAACTGATACGTGTGGTTTTGGACACTCCTTGAGGTGCCCTTAAGCTCTTGAAGTGGCCCTCAGAGGGTCCTTTGAGGCCTGACACCTTTACGGTCGACCGATTCAGGTCGACCGTGCGACGAATCTGTGGGAGGATCCGTGGAAGGAGCCGTTAAAGCGACCCACCAGGAATCCCATCTGGGGCGGGGCTTTCAATAGAAGCCCCTGGTCCGGGGGTCCTGGTATATGTGTTTAAATATCTTTTGTTTGGAGCAGCTCAAGGGATGAAGGGACTATATACGACCTGTCTGGGACTGGCATAGGACTGCCTGGCCCACATTGGGGTGGTTCATTTCGGGGGTGAAGATATGCCTTTTCCGAGCACATGTGACACACACATACGGTAAAATACTGCCGGCACTTGTTCATAGGGGTTGCACGATCTGTCAAGGGCAAACAAGGCACAGAAGACACTGATAAAAGCTGTGTTTTGGGGGAAGGCGGGTCACTTTGCCATGATATCCAACAAAAGCACTGAGATTTTTTCTTTAAAGTTAGTGCCAGGACTGGGTCTTTTTCATGCCCTTGATTTACCTGCCTGTCTTCTACACCTTCCGGGAAGCAGCCTATTCCAGGTGCACGCATGTGCGCAGATTGAACATGGAAACCGTTGGGCGGGGCAGTTGATCTTCTTCCAGGTGTTGCAGTTTGTGGCTGAGAGCCGCAACCTTTCCTTTGAGAACTAAGATGCATCTTACATATTTTGGAAAGATACACAGAATTACAAAATAGTTCTTGATGGCGTTCTTTGGATATATTTACAAGGTGCTTATGGGTTTTCTATGGTACTGAAGCATACACATCTCGGAAGAAGGAGCTGTAACCACTGCACAACTCATTGATTTCATCAAGCACCACGAGTTTGCACCACCCTGGTGCCAGCCCCATTTTTGTTAACAAGCTTTTACAACGGTCTCGTTGGGAAGGGTCCGACCATAAGTTCGGCCACCAAGGAGTGTCCAATGGACACCAGCAGTCATGTCGAGTTAAAGGCCAGCTGTTCAGTGGATCTACAACAGCTTCAATCATTGATGAATGCTTCATCATGATTCATTTAAATGTTGCCGACTGTTCAATCGGGATTAATCCTGCACATGCACATACTTATATATGGTGAAGTCAACTTGTTGGTCCCTTCCCTCCAACCCTCGCGATTTGGAGCTGGTCGCCTCGTAGGACGTCTCAAAACATCTCAAAAGCACCTCCAACAAGCCGCCTAACCGCCAATACCTCAAAAACCCATCAGTGTCAGCTACCTAGTGACCCATAAGTGATCTATTAAGTGACCTCCCTCCAAGGGAAACCTGGAGGCCTTTTGTGTTGGACCTGGTGGGAACCTGGCATCCTCTAGGCCTACCAGTTGCCGAAGCCTTTGTGACTCCTCACTGCGCTTCTGGGCCGCCCACGTGACGAGCGACCTTTGCGCCGCCACACCACTGCTGGTGACCTCCGATGTGGCGCCCTGGACCGTCCAAGGGCACCGCTGGACGAAGGAGGAAAACCAAGGCTGTTCTCTCCGTGAAAAATGCAGCTGTTCTCTTTTAATGCAGCCTGTTCTCTCAGTCTCGTTGATATTTTAAGGTGCTTCGTTGATATCAAGTACCCATTTGGAGCTGTAAAGTGAAGCCCTTATCGAGCCGAGCACAGGGCACCGCCACTGAAGCTGACGAAGGTATCCAGAGGACGGTGTCCAGGAGGTCCAGTCTGTTTGGGTTGTTCAGGTGCCAGGTGGTTGCCATCCCGCCTCGGTTTAGGGGTTCAATCACCTGACCAGCACCCTCCAACTGGTCAGCAATTGAGACCTTTTCCCTCCAAAGGAGACCTGTTGAAGGGTGCTGGTAGAGTTTTGCGGATCTAGGGAATTTTCATGTCATTTTCCACTGCGTGAGTCCCCAAACCCTGGGAATGGATGTCTTAGACTGGCGGTTCCTGAAGCAAAGATCACGTATACCGCATACACTGTCCCCTTCGCCTCGGCCGCTGGACACAGGACTCTTCCTGTGCAGCACCGGGACCTTCACCACGAACCAGAGGGGTGTCCAGTTCCTTCGCCCGCGGCGCCGCGCCGCCCCCGGGCGGTCCCGCCGAGGTCATGTTCACTGCCGCGTGGCGGCGGAAGCGGTCGACGCGTTCGGACCCGGGTTGTCGCGCCGGACGGAGGGGCCGCCCGGATTCTGGCAGATTTCAGGCTTGGCCGAAGCCACCAAGCCAGGCTTGCAGGCCTTGTGACATGTGTACCCTTGCGCAGTTTGTTCTTGAGGGAAATTTCTTCGGGTGCTGAGATTGTCCATCCAAAGTGGTGGTTTGGGGAACGAACTGGTGTTTTTGGTTGATTTGCTTGGAGTTTGATGGCCGCTCCAAGGGTTATTGACTCACGACGGTCAGAGACAGGAAGGGGTGACGATGAATAGGCTCACAGGCTTGGAGATTAGATGAGACATGATGAGACCATTGTACTTTTGGTTAAGTCATAGTATCCCTAGGGATCCAAGTAACTTCTCAGAAGGTGATTGGAGAGCATTTATGTAGGCTTCGAGGGCCCAGGTACCACCTGAGAAGGTATGGAGGTTATAAGTATTCTTGTTCCTCAGCTTCTGACTGTCTGATGCAGAGAGGCGAGCCATGAGGACCTTTTTCGGTGTTAAGCAGTGTCTTGCTGTGATAGCTCGGTCTCTCCGGTTTACACCATCGGTGAAAAATGGTGGCAAACACACGGGGTATTGAAAGAGGCAGAGCAAGCAATGTGGGTTTTAAAGGGTGAGACTGAGACTAAAACCATCAACGTTGCGGCCCGTCTCCCTGGTCGGGGAGACGCTACAAGGCTTTCTGCTGTTTAACCGTTGGTTTGCCCGGTTCCCCGTTGGCTTGAACAACGGCTACACGATCTGTGATCACTCAGTGTGTGACCCCTTCCCGATGTCAGACATGAAAGTGATCAGCTCATCAGCACTGCCCATCCCCTAAAGAAACCATAACGGAAAACAAAAAACCTTCGAAATGCCTGTCAAAGCATGGGGCACTGCCCTCATCACCTAGCTCATCACCGTCTTTTCTGAGGCCTTACCGGCCTTTTGGCGCGTGCCCTTCTTGTCGTCCATCGGCCTACTTTGGGCACCCTGACGGGCGACAGAGCTGGATGGGCAAAGTGGGGTGGAGTGATCCAGAAGATCATCACCCAGACCATCCATGGGACTGGAATAATATTACATGACATAATATATTTGTATACATATTGCACGGGCATTCGGGTAAAAGCACGAGCCCGGCCTGTGCCAGGGGACTTCGATCCAAAGAATTGTCACAGTGATCTTTATTGCGACAAGGGTCTTGATGGATCATGTGACTGGAGCCATCGACTTCACGGAGGTGGATCTCAAGTTCGGTGGCAGGCCTGAGCTGTTCTACAGGAAGGCAGTTCAGGCAGTGGCCCAGGCAAGGAACGGCATGCGGAAGGTGTCTGCTCCAGCAACGCTCTGGGAGTCATGCTGTGAATTTCTTGGTAGCCACTGTACTTTATCAGAGATCATGTTTTGCTCGCAGCTCCACAGTGTCCGGCCGTCGCCAGACTAGAGCATGCGTCCGATGGCTTAGAGAAGTTCTGCCCCCACAAACTCTCTCACTATGAGTGGCTCACTTTAAAGTGCTTTGGGCGGCTGCGGGAGGCTGTGTTTGTTTCTCTTTTGATGCCTGCTTCCAGCCAGCTTGGCACTTTCATTGGGGCACAGGACGCTGTTAAGTCAAGAGATGAGCAGAGTTCCGGGATCCAACTCCCAGAAAGCCAGCGTTTGCTTGTCTCTGGCTTTGCTTCGCTGCACTCCGACACCTTCCTCAGTGATGTTGAGGCTTGCCACACATACTGACTAGTGCCCTGGTCAATGCTTGGCAAGCTTTGCCTGGCAACGGCAAGTTCACTGCAAACAATTGCGTGGAAGCGGAATTGAACGCAAGTCACTTTGCTGGATATCGGATACGACGCTAAACTCTTGGGTCCTTCGTTGAAGGACCCAACTGCCGTGATGGGGCCTGCACCCTCAGCGTTGGCAACGTTGTTCTTTGGACCGAATTGGGACACGGGCAACTTTGAGGCAGTTCGTCGAGCGGTCAATGAATTGATGGACAGATGCCAAGTCCGCCATACTACAGCGCCCTCACCGGCCCACAGATGCAGTCTGTGTGGTGCAAACTCAAGGGTGCTCTATGACAGATGCCACAAGTGGCATCTCAGAACTCAACCAAAACTACACATCACTGATGCAGCTGACCAAGCAAAATTTTGCTGGCCGAGAGGTTCAGCATTTCGCGCGCACCAATTCGGCCAGATTGTTCGACCCCGTTTGCGCATCAACGCTTGCATCATCCATGGCTACGCTGACATTCTTGCCATTAGCCACTGCGATGTTCATACTGGGTTCAGCAGCACCGTGGAGCTGATCTCCTTTGCCCTGACAGTGCTTACCAAGCAAGGAGTGTCTCTGGCGTGCAGCGGCGTCGCAAGAGTGGGACACCAGTATCAACTCCATCACAGGACACAGCTTTGCTAAATCTGGGTCACAATGTACGCCAGGAATGGTGCCGACGTGTGCGAGCACTTTGAAGAGAGCCAGCCATGCTATGTCGTCGTTCTGGCCCGACAAGGATCGAAGACCAATCCCAGCGTCACGTTCAAGATCCGCGACAGCTTGGCACGATTCATCCACCACTTGGCTGCCACAGCACCAGCACACAGCGACACGGCAGCAACTCCGAAGCCTCGCCGCCAGAGTGCCTAACGTCACCTTCGAAACCCTGGACAAGGAATGGGAGACAGCCTCGGAGCCGCTGCCACAGCCCACAAAACGATCCCCTTGCCAGGCCCAAAC